GCTGGGTCAAAACAATCCAACCGCTGGGTCAAAACAATCCCAATAGCTGGGTCAAAACAACCCAACCGCTGGGTCAAAACAATCCCAATAGCTGGGTCAAAACAACCCAACCGCTGGGTCAAAACAATCCCAATAGCTGGGTCAAAACAACCCAACCGCTGGGTCAAAACAATCCCAATAGCTGGGTCAAAACAACCCAACCGCTGGGTCAAAACAATCCCAATAGCTGGGTCAAAAAAACCCAACCGCTGGGTCAAACAATCCAATAGCTGGGTCAAAACAATCCAATAGCTGGGGTTGTCCCTTTTTAACCCAGCGCTGTGTTATATTTAACCCAGCGTTTTTTAGAGTGTAGATTTATAGATTTTGCAGCCTAATTATTTAAGTTTAATGACAAAATTACTATATTTGCACACATTTATCCAGTGCGACTACACGTTTAAAATGTGCATGTGATAAGATGCTGATGAGATTTACGGTGTGTTTTGGAATTGTTCCTATGTGCGTGATGATATGAAAATTCATCAAAACACACGAGATTATTTCTGCCCTCTCTGCCATATTGACTCCATAAATGATTACCATCAGCTCTGTGGTTTGTTAATCTCTGTAAAAACTGTCTTAAACGCTCACACACCTCGCATCGAGTTTCCCTGAAGAGTAAAACTCTCTATCTTTTTACGTCTCTCGCTCTCTCTGTCTGTCCTCCTGCCAAAGTTAGCTAAGTGCGGAGTGAATGTGGAGACTCGTCCTACATTAAAGAGCACGTGCATGTTCAGAAGTAGGTCAGCGAGCCCCTGGCTGAAGGAAATGAGGACGCTTCTATCTGAAGGAGCTTTATTTTGGGCAGCCAATCCTAGAGGGCTTCATTTATCAAAGGCCCCTCTGTGAACTGCTGGCTCAGGACTGGAGCTCTGACTCCACTAGGGGGAGCCGTATGAATCCCAAAATCAGCGGCAGTTCTGGCTGCACACATTTACCATGTTTCTGAAATCTAGGACTTCGAATATGTTCAGAAAAGCATGCTAAGATACTGCCTCTACTCTTAATGCAGTATGCATATTATGTATAGTATGCAAATTTCCACATGTATCTTTATTGACTCATTATGTGATTGGACTGACAGGTGTTCACATAAAAACATTTTACACAAAATTGCATTACATATTTTTTCTTTTAAATTGTATTTAATTGCGTTAAAAATATTTTTATTTACACATGTAACAATGTGGACATGTGACAGCAGTGTAGCATACTATTTGAAATATTTATACTATACATACTACATTGTATGCAGTATACTGTAAGTATACATATAATGTATATTGCCTACTGTTTTTTAAATGGTATGTAAAACTAATGTATGCATTATGCCATGGTAAATAAACAGTATTGTACTATGTTTTTGAATTATGCTTTTTGTTTTGCAAAAAAAGTTTGGGTTACACTTCATTTTAAGGTTTTAAGGTGTCCTTGTTACAGTGTAATTATACATTAAATACTGATTAATATTAATTAACTACATGTACTTACTATATGGTTAGGATTAAGGTTTGGCTTAGGGCTACTTGCATGTAATTATGCATAATTAATTGTTATTATAATAGTAAGTACATGTAACGTGTAACAAGGACACCGTAAAATAAAGTGTTACCAAAGTTTGCAAATTTCCTATATTTTTATCAAAATTGCATTGCATTAAATTGCATTAAAAATATTTTATTTGGAAGATGATTCCTGGACTGGCTGGATTTAACATGCAATGCATATATATATGTATATATCAAATATATATATTTTAAATAATATACAGTATATACTGCACAGTATGCATAAAGTGATTTTGTTCAGAGTTAAATGCTTGCATAGTGCGTACTATGATGTACACTGTATACTGTAAGTATACATATACTGTATATTGCTTAGTATTTTTTAATGTGTAAATGCATTATGCAATGATAAACAAACAGTACTGTACTGTGCTGCTGTCACATGGCCTTACTATATTGTAGATTCAGTCAGCCCAGGTGTCATCTCAACAATGAATATAGTTAATTTGCTTTTTTAATTCAAATATGCTTCAAAATGTCTTAACTTGCATATAATAATGTGTCAAAAAGGAGTTCAAGTGTTTGATATCACTTTCAGTGCATTCAGCACACAAGAGACTGTAAGGTCATTGCATTATGGGATACAGTGCTCCATGAAGCATGTTCTGGTTGTGTACTGTGCATTTTAACACGTTTTTTCATGCATACAGAAGATTTGCATACTGTGCACAGTATAAGCATGAATTATTAATGTATATAAAGTCAGTAACAAATCAATAATGCAAACGCTCGCTCTCTTTGTCTTTCAGGATGGTTGATGTGGGGGGTCAGAGGTCAGAGCGCAGGAAGTGGATCCACTGTTTTGAGAATGTGACATCCATCATGTTCCTGGTGGCTCTGAGCGAGTACGATCAGGTTCTAGTCGAATCGGACAATGAGGTAAGCAACTCATTTACTATAGACGTGTTTATCTTTACCTTTCTGTGGTGGTCTTGTAATTTTTAGTATATTTTCTGGTGGTAATTTGACAACAATGTTGCCAACTACAGTTTGAACTATTCATAATTGCACACTGTATACTTCTTCAGTTTATTTGTATAGCACAATTCATACACGATAGTAGTTGAAAGTGCTTTCCATAGTAGGGATTTAAAAACAATCATAAAAAAATGCATAAGAAATAAATAAATAAAAATATCAATAGAACATTGGAAATAAAAATTTATTAAAAATTGAATTAAAATATTAAATCTAACTTTAAGGAATAGTATTCTCTCTCTCTCTCTCTCTCTCTCTCTCTCTCTCTCTATATATATATATATATATATACACATACACACACCCACACAGTTGTGGTCAAAATTTTACATACACTTTGCAGTATCTGCAAAATGTTAATTTTACCAAAATAAGAGGGATCATACAAAATGCATGTTATTTTTTATTTAGTACTGACCTGAATAAGATATTTCACATAAAAGATGTTTACATATAGACCACAAGAGAAAATAATAGTTTAAAAATGACCCCGTTCAAAAGTTGTGTTGGTAACTGACTAAGGTAAAAAAAAAAAAAAAAAAACCTTTTTTTTTTTTTTTTTTTTTTTTTGTAGTTCATGTGAACAGTTCAGGACAAATAAGGGACTCATGAACAACTATCACAAAACAAAAAACTCCTGTGGATCATCCAGGTAACAAAACAGGATTAAGAATCAAGCATATGAAAACTTTTGAACGGGGTCATTTTTATAAATTCTACTTATTTTCCCTTGTGAACTATATGTAAACTATATGTTGATATGTATGTTTTTTTTAATGTGAAATATCTTATTCAGGTCAGTACTAAATAAAAAAAAATAACATGCATTTTGTATGATCCCTCTTATTTTGGTAAAATAATTAACATTTTGCAGATTTTGGATTCACGGCCTAAAGTTTTTATTTGTCAGCAAGTTATTTTTCAATCTGCATTCTGACATATATGACGATCCAATCTTTGTGTTTGTGTTCAGAATCGTATGGAGGAGAGCAAGGCTCTGTTCAGGACGATAATCACATATCCATGGTTCCAAAACTCTTCTGTCATCCTCTTCCTAAACAAGAAGGACCTGCTGGAGGAGAAGATCTCCTACTCCCACCTGGTCGACTATTTCCCAGAGTTCGATGGTATGTTGGTTTCCTGTCGTACAGTGTTTTTCATGTAGACTGGTTTTATGCAAACAGTCCCAATGTAATGCATGCAGGGCTCGCAAAATCGCTAGCCCGACGTCCCGGGGCTATTGGGTTTTCCAGTCGGGCTACCAAAATGTTTCACCACCCTGCCTGACGGGCTATCTTGAACAGTGATATAAAATTATTTCCTTGATTTGCATTGTTCACTAGCTTGTAGGGGTAAAACGGTAGTTTCGTTTGCACATATTTTCTAAGTCTTGCCGATTTAAACATTCAAGTGTTTTAAACCAATCACGTGCATTCGGAGCTGCGCGCACTCATTCAAAGCACGCACAGAGAGCCGCGTTTCAGACAATGCGCGTACACAGAATTGATTCCTCTTTCGCGTATCTTTGCATCTGAATGAACACATACACACAAAATTATCTCAAAATAACTGTCTCGGCAAGTATTCTCGTAAACACAGTCAGTTATGTCTTAAGTGAACGTAAACAGTGGAGAAAGAAATCTCAAGTGCATCATTATATTGGATCTGTGCATTCGGCCTTAAAGGGGTAGCAGCCTATAAATACCTGCTGTTCCATAAGCGCCACCTGCTGTCAGAGAGTGACATTTGCTTCTCATTCACAAAGCTAAAATCAAACCATTCTGTTTTTGCTTCAAATTTCAAAATTATACAATCTAATTGCAATCTAAATAACATGTATTTAACATCTTTGTTTGGATCATGATTAAAATGCAGTGGTTGCCTCTTATTTTAAATGGAAAAAGCACAGCCAAATTCCTTAGTTTGTTTATTTTTACTGTATTTATGATCATATATTGCTGTTTTTACTGTATTTATGATCATATGACTGCAACCTTGGTGAGCGTAAGAGACTTTTTTCAACAACTTCAATATTAGCCACGCCAAACTTCGATTATTCTGGCCTTAGACAAGTTTTTCATTAAAAACAAAAAAAAACAAATACACAACCCTTTAAGCTTTACAAATACTTTTTGTTCCAAATCAATTATTATAATGCTATGATTCATCTTTCAGCTGGTTGGTTTGTTTCAAGATTTAAAAAAAAGCTCTTTATTGTGGAGTAAATGAATAGGAAGAATGAACTGGTTCAGGTCTCCTGAAGTTTTTAACTCCATGTACACATTGTTTTGTAGGGCCCCAAAGGGACGCCCAGGCTGCACGGGAGTTCATCCTGAAGATGTTTGTGGATCTGAACCCCGACAGCGACAAGATCATCTACTCGCATTTCACCTGCGCCACCGACACGGAGAACATCCGCTTTGTGTTCGCGGCGGTGAAAGACACCATCCTGCAACTAAACCTGAAGGAATACAACCTGGTGTGAGACGTGCGACGAGTCCGACACATGAATCAGCATAAAACAGGCACCCACAGAGCGTGCGCACACCTACGTCCACACACCACACACACACACACACACACACACACACATGCATCATGTACACTTTCAGAAACACACGGTTCTTTTGATTTCTCTTTACTAGCTTCCAGAGTTTTCCTCTTTCTGTCCAGCGGAATCATAATGGACATGTCCTGCTCATCGTTTGTTTTTTATTTGTTTGCGAAAGTCTGTCCGCTCATCCCTGGGCAGCTCTCGTCAAAGGCCTCTTTCCCTTTTATCAAATTTGACCACCAAAAAAAAAAGAAAGAAAAAAAAGTGGCTCGGATTTGACAAAGGGCATTAGACTCCTACTAGCCACTTCAGCGTTCGGAATACAACCTGGTGTGAGACGTGCGACGAGTCCGACACATGAATCAACATAAAACAGGCACCCACAGAGTGTGCGCACACCTACGTCCACACACCACACACACACACACACAAACACATGCATCATGTACACTTTCAGAAACACACGGTTCTTTTGATTTCTCTTTACTAGCTTCCAGAGTTTTCCTCTTTCTGTCCAGCGGAATCATAATGGACATGTCCTGCTCATCGTTTGTTTTTTATTTGTTTGCGAAAGTCTGTCCGCTCATCCCTGGGCAGCTCTCGTCAAAGGCCTCTTTCCCTTTTATCAAATTTGACCACCAAAAAAAAAAGAAAGAAAAAAAAGTGGCTCGGATTTGACAAAGGGCATTAGACTCCTACTAGCCACTTCAGCGTTCACATGTTTCATGGAAATGTTGGATTGGCGGAGCTACGATGAGAATGACCTGTGATACGCTGGCCTGAAAAACTGGAAGTGACGTTCCTTCTCCTTTCCTGTAGAGTATCACTCGCTTCAATCACGTCATCTGCTCTGAGCGTTTCTCTGGAATTCCGCCTGGATGAATGGAAAAATGTGGTTTTCACAGCCCTGCAAAAAGACCAAAAATAAAAAAACAAAAAAAAATCACAACATATTTACATACTTGTACATGGACACATGGACTAGTGCTGTGGTGCCGGAAGTTCCGAAACGGATTCTAGAATTCAGTGGGTTCCAGCGGGTTCCACTGATGGTGTGGAGAACCTTTCACTCGCAGAGATGATTCTCTTGACGAGGCTAGTCTTCAACTCGCATCGATGAATGTAAACTTCATGTGAGAGCATTGTAAATGCAAAAAAAAAAAACAACGGCAACAAAAAAAAAATCGGGAAAAAATGATAATGAACGAAAATAGTGTAGGAATGCCTATATAAGCAAAACGATACAAAGCACGCGATGGAGAGATGAAACGAATTAAATCTGTGTATATTGCTGAGATGATCATTTTAAAAACTTTTTAATGATAAGTAACTATAGCTACTTCTACTGCTACCGAATATAAAGTAAATTATAATGGCAGTCGAATTAATGGTGGGTAAGAGACAACGTTAAGGATTTTTAAATGTGCGCAAAACAGGATTATACATTTACGATAGGTATTGTTCCGCAGATTTCCACATTTAACGTTGACAGTTCCCTCACAGTTGTTATGTTTTATCCTCCTTCCTGGTTTCGTTTTAATTTCACCATCTAAAAAGTCGTTTCGGAGTGCGCGGTTATCTTTTTCCGCTCACGAACAGATACTTTATTAATTCACAATCCAGGCTGCAGACTCGCGGGTATCGTCGTCATCTAGCAGCACGGATGCACACAATCCATTATTTGTTTACGCAGTTTTTTTTATTGTCATAACGTAACTTTTTCGGTTGACAATTTCACGAATTTCGCGCGAGTTCCGGTGGGATCGCGGGAGGACGAGGTTGGGGAAACGGGAAAGCATTTATGCGCTGAAGTTAATTGATTGTGTATATTTATATTTGTAAATACGTATACACATTATTGCTTATGTACAAAGCGTCTGTGGTACACTATCTTTGGCGAAAAAAATCACTTTTTCGTAATTGTGTACGGTTCTGTTGGTTTTCTTATGAATTACAATATTATTGATACTGTGATTCTTCGTTTTAATTTCTGATTTTTCTTTTTTGGTCACTATGAATACGTCAAATGATATACACATAGCTGTACCTGACGGTAACGTGTGGAGGACGAACGTGATGAGTAATAGTCTGAGAAAGACTGGCTGTTCGAAGGCGTTTGGAAAGATCAGAGATGGATAGGGAAACAGCCTCCTCTATGGTGTGAATGTTATATGAGATATAAAAATAAAAATATGATTTTTAAGCAAAAGAAAAAAATTATTAAATAAAGAGCATTTTATTTATATAATTTATGGACCAGATCTGAAGTTGTTGATCATTTGAATGCTATTGTTTCCACTTTTCCTATTTGAAGCACTCCCATGTTATGAGACAGAAATAGGAGACTCTAGTGTCTGTACTGCTGTATAAACCTCCATTATGGATTAAAAAAAATCTGATTTTTTTTTTCCCCCCAAAAACGCAATATATTGTACTATAACTATTTTTCCCTAACCACAGTTTTCACTTTCCTACAGATTTTTTTTTATTTGTTAAATTTCCAAATGATGTTTAGGTGAACTGCTTAAAAGCAAACATAGGAAATGTACCATATAAAAAATAGACAGCTTTTTATCTGTAATTGAAGATCTATTTCGACGCTTGCAAGTAGTGACTTTTTCTTTACATTCTGATTTCATTTTCGATTTCTTTATAAATTCACAGCTTGTTTCCGTATGTGATGCACAGATAGAAAAAAAAACGTGTTCTACGGTTCTTTTACAGTCGATATTTTATACAGTCGAAAATCAATTTCATTTTCATTCATTTTCATCAAGGGCTACGAAAAAAAACACGCCACATGAAAACCAGAAACGATTGGTCACAGCTCAATGTGTGATTCGGTAGAGGGAGAAACACGATCACAAATGCACCCATTCCACCAAATACTCATGCATTATTCATTATTTTATCACTTTTGCTGCCATGCATCTGAGTTCATCACTTGCCACGGCCATCGGGCGCTCCACTAGAGAAGCAAACTCCCAAACGCTTTCTTGATGGATATAAAACCTGACGTGTTATTTGTAAACTTAATTCAGTGTTTAAGTGGGGTTTGGAAATGCCACACCATTTTGTAAATCCTGCAGTGTTTTCTTAGATGTCCGTAGTGAGTTAGATTTGAAGAAACTGATGATACAAAGCACTAAATCGTCTAAAACACCATAATTTAAACGTACATCTTACTCTAAAGTGGACCTTAGTTTACTGCGACTGGTGAGTTTATGTCTCTGCTCACTAGGAGAACGTGTTGCTTTGTTGTATCTGGAGCAGCTTGATTGTTCTTAATGCACTTTTCGTTTTTTTTTTTGTTTTGTTTTTCGTGCCACAAGGCAAACGCTTCGAGCAGCAGGCCGACCGTTTGAGCCACTCGTATCTATAAATGTGCCAGTCCCAGAAGTCTCGTATTCGACGTTCCCTCAAGAACCTCTACCTCTGTGATCCGTGAGACGTTTTTCGGGCATTTTAGGATCGTAGGCACCTGACAAGCACACTTCTTCAGTCCGTAGGGCACAGTCAGTGAGGTTTGGAGGCCAAACGTTGTATATTTATTCGATCTTGCCAACCTGCATGTATTTTGTTCGCCTTGTACGCTAAACACTGCAAGCCAACACCTTTCTCAAAAAAAATCTTCCTTAAATATCCGGCGAGTGGTACATGGAAAATAGCATCTGTCCCGCTGCTGGCAAGAGAATCGTATGCCTGTGGCTTTGTTTCAGTTCAGCAGTGGACAAGTGAATAAACATATCAGTTATGAAGGCTTTGGCTGTTCTGGGTAACTGTTTGGATATAATTTAGGCTAGAAAATACCATATACAAATGCATAAATGCTTGGCCAAAGCATTGCAAACATGTCTTATTGATACAATCCTCAGTACTCAAGAGAGCACTAGAGTTTCCTTCAAATATCTGTGCCATTAAACCAGATGTTATTATTCCTGAAAAGGAAAATTGGCTGTGGAAGTTGCATTTGTGGCAGCTAAATTGACTGTATTCACTTTCAACTTATCCGGCTTGAAAATGATTCTTATCGTATTTCTATCTTTCTCTAGTGTGCATAAAATAAGTCTCCAGGAGCATAAAATAAGGTCTCTTGCCTCTTGAGTTCTGTGTCTGCTTCAGTTCTCATGATGGTTGCGATTCAGTTCAGTGACTCTTTGCATTTGATTGCTTGTAAAGACTCGCTCGGTAAGATGCAATGCACACATAAGCTTGTTGACATGGAGTCACATTTCTACAGATGACAGAGCGAGACTATTATGTTATTTCCATGTAAGCATGCTTACTGGTACGGTTAGGTGCATCTATGTGGTGGACGGTCCAATGGTTGACGTTTTGACCCAATGAAAGAGTCATTCAAATGTGATTTCTGCTTTTTATCCCCCGTTCTTTCATTGTAATGCATTACCTGAAAGCTGTTATGTCCAGGACCACTTGAGCATGTACATTTGACTTGGGTTTTCTCTCTCATTCTTTCTCTGCTTCTTTGTACCCTTTTATTTTGTAATTATACCAAATGTAAATGTTGTATAATATTGTGCGTGCCAATGCCCTTCTCTGAGACTGACTCATAACAAGTGCCAATTGTTGTCCAAATCACTTGCAGACCGTGAAATTAGACACGGTCCCCTTTTAAAACACTAAAGAAGAGCGTAAATGGATTTACTTTGTATTTAAGTTAGAAGATAAACTGCTGTTTTTGCTCTTTTTTTTTTTTTTGTAAGGAATTGTAATTATTAAAGCATGTGCTCTTTGTCCAGATGGGAGTTTTGGGCTCGGACAAGCAACAAAATCCTCGAGACGAGGAAACATAGTGGAAATTTATTTTACGACATTCTCGCCATATTTTATTGTTGTTTTTATTTGTATTTGTTTCATTTCAACCACTGTTGCCTGAACCTCATTCAAACATGGAAATGATTTTCATAACCGCCTTCTAAAAAAAAACAAAAAACAAAACAAACAAAAAAATTATAAAGTATCTGTTTTAAATTTAAATAAATTTGTTCCTATACTTGCTGATGGTCTTGTAACTTGTTTTCTTCTCAGTGCCTGAAATGCTGAAGTGTTAAAGGGGTCATATGATGCTTTTTTAAAGATCATTATTTTGTGTATTTGGTGTAACAGAATATGTTGACATGCTTTAATGTTCAAAAAACACATTATTTTTCAAATACTGTACATTATTGTAGGTCCTCTATGCCCCGCCTCTCTCAAACGCTTCGTTTTCTACAAAGTCCCTCCTTCCGACAAGCGCAGTCTGCTCTGATTGGCCAGCTGACCCAGTGCATTGTGATTGGCCGAACACCACAAGCACTCGTCGGAAATGTAACGCCCCTTACCATAATCACGAGCTTCATCTTTCAAAATAAATGTAAAGACAGAGCCCAAAAGGGGAACAGAGTCGCGTGACAGACACAGTGATGAAGCTGGTTTTAAAATCCTGCAGATTGCTGCTTTTCAGATGTTTCAAATGAAAGTCATTTAATTTAGTTTTATCTGCATTATAATTTCAGCACATAAAAACTCTCCTGGCCTTTATTTTTGAAATTGTTTGCCAAATATGGTTTAGTGTTTTTGTCCAGAAGGGGTACACACAGAGATTGCATAGAGGAACATGTCTAAACATCTAAAACTTAAAAACAAATTATAATGTAATATTATCCCAGGATGTCGTCTTCAACACACACCTGTAATATCTCTTCCCTTAGAGGTATTAATAAATCGCATGTTCACTTCAGTGGAAATACTCCCATGGGTGCAGTTGCCAGTGTTGCAGGTTGGAGTCGCTGTACAACTAACCTGGAACAAAAGCAGCGCAATTCCAACACCTTCCACCGACAAAACACACTTCCGGCCACTGTCATTTCATCCATTTGACATCTTAAAATGGGCCTCCTGAGCGCCACCTTAAATCCTGCATGCGAATGTACCAAGGGACGAATCCTACTACGATAAAGGTTTGTCTCATGAATATTAATGACGCAACGTGGCGTTCGCCTGTCGGATTGGCTGAAATGCATACGCACGGTACCAAACAAGTCTTATTTTAAAATTTGCTCCAGATATAGAAAAAAAAGCTTCAAAGGATTATTAATGAATACAAACACATTTTTAAAAATGAATCTTCCAAGTACACATTCCTAAAATAAACATGAATAATAATATTAATTAATAATAGTATAACATTACACATACATTTACTGTAAAACACTAATTTATTTTGAGGTGTCAGTGTGTACTTGTATTTGTATGACATACATATATACAGTGTTGGGGAAAGTTACTTTTAAAAGTAATGCATTACAATATCGCGTTACTCCCTAAAAAAGTAACTCATTACGTTACTTAGTTACTTTTTATGGAAAGTAATGCGTTGCGTTACTTTTGCGTTACTTTTTAAATCTGGACAGGGCTTGCTTGTTTGTTTTTAAAATAAAAAAGTTATATTTTTGGCAAATATAAAAGCCTTTTCACACCAAAAGTGAAATGAATAAGCCTCAGGCTGAAGGGAAAGTAAATTTAAGTCAGTAGAATGCAGAAGACATTTCAACACACTTCAGCAATAAAAAACACACAAATGTTTGTCTAGAGTAATTTGTGCTGATTAGTACGCTTGAACTGGATCATCGAAGCTCAGAAGCAAATAGAATGGGATTAAATACATAAAGGATATTTGTGTTGTTTAACATTTAATTATTGCAGGTTTGCGTCATAACCTGAGTTGCATTTTTTATTCATTTTGAGGAATACTGAATCTGTGTGTTTTTTTTTTTTTTTTGTGAGTGAGATGAGTTCATGCATATTCATATTTATTTTAGAACTACTGTAACATCTTCTGATTTCTGTCACCATGGCAACACCAGAGCTGTCAATCAATACATTGGGAGAAAAAGTAACTTGCGCTACTTATTTGAAAAAGTAACTCCGATATTTTCTTGTAAATTAAAAAGCAATGCGTTACTTTACTAGTTACTTGAAAAAGTAATCTGATTACGTAACTCGCGTTACTTGTAATATTTGTGTTGCCAAAGAAGTGCAAAATAACACAATAAAGCGAAATCTCATCCCTCGCAGGTTATTACATTAAATAAAAAATTCCATATTTAGCTTCGGAGACGAAGCAGCAAGTCAATAAATATATAAAAATGAAAACATACGTTCCCGGAAGGTTACCAGGCAACGCGCACACGACCTAATTAATATTCATGAGTAAAGCGCTCCCCATAGTAGATTCCGTAATTTAGCGTGTCGCATCACGAGTCCGTCCATACGAGTCCTGAAGCGGCAGAAGAGGCATGGTTTTCCAAGCGCTGGCTGCTCTTTCACCGCTTATAAACAGACACACGCAAGACTAGCGAAAACACGACCCGATTTAAACGTTATTTTCCTCATTTTCAAACGCATTTTGTTCGTTTCCTGCTATATAAACTTCTCTATTAGCTTTAGCCAGGTAGCTTGCATCTGGAAATTGGACAAGTATGATCAGCCTGGCGGTGGATTAATCGGCCTATTTTAACAGAAGATTCATTTTTCTCATGTGAAACCGCGATGTCACATAGTGTAGTAAAGATTGCTTGTTGTTTGTGTTGTTCCAAAGGCGCTGTCTGAAGTTGATGTACGTTAGGTTTGTAAAGCTGAACAAAATCCAGGAAAACTGGAGATCACAGCCAGCAAATCTCTTCAGGAGAGCAGACTAAAGCCCTTTCTGCCTTCAAACTCAGCAGTTTAGACCAAATCAAGACCGAGCAAAGACGACATCCATCCAAAGCCTTTTGATTTCATCTACAAGAAGAGAATAAAGCACAAACAAAACAAAAACAGGCTGATATGATGTTTCCACAAGCCAGGCACTCGGTAAGTGTCTCATTCTCCTTCATTCATGCTGATTGTCACACAGCAGGTGATGTGGACATACAAGCACTTGCAGACTGGTGTATTTCACAGAGCATACCAACACAAAATACCATTCTATTTATATCTGTAATGTTTTGTGAACACGAACCCTGATAATACCATGTTTTTCTTACATGCACCATGGGAATACTATGTTTTTGGAAATGGTACAGTGGTAAAACTATGTTTTTTGACATGTGCCATGGCAATACCTTTGTTTTTAGATGTATCCCCTTACAAAAATGTACTCTGGCAGTACCATTGTACAGTGATTGTATCAGAAGGTACTTTGATATTTACCTGTTTATATATGATATTCAAGCTTTTTGTTGTATTCTTTGAAATATGCTGGCGTTACATGTAAATACCATGAGTTTTGAATATGCTAATGATTCAGTATCATGGTATTACCATTAGTACTGCCACAGTATGTTTTTGTCATTCTGAGCTCTTCTGTTGTACCAGTCTTATAAATGGTAATAACAAAATATATATATTTATGATAAACTCATGTGATGCACCAGAGATTATAATAATGTTAAATTCTAAATGGCAAAGTTTATATATATATATATATATATATATATATATTAGAGCTGTGCAATATATCACAAATGTACATATCGCAATATGCATATCGCTACAGCTTGCAATATTGGGGGCCATGAACAAAAGACAAAGAGAAAATCACTCGCCGCTCTTACCTAAATAACTTTTGTAGTTTAAATAAGAATCAGTGCATATTGAATTCAAAGAGTAAATACTAAGCAGTGTTTCATTTTCCCTTTTTATTATTCAGTTCCTAAACTCGTGTTAAAATGATTACACTAATGTTAAAAGGACATTTTTATGTAATGCTCGAGTAAAACACATACCGTTCACTTTCAGAAGTTGTTGTAGGGGGGCTTTCAAATTAGAATCAGAATGAGCTTTATTCACCACTTAAGTGTGCGCGCAAACACAAGGAATTTGTTGTGGTTTTACAGGAACTCTTAACATACAAATAACCATATATATATGATACAAGATAGTTATAGCAGTTCACAGAACTGAAAAAGTAAAACATCTGAGCATGTGGCACTTTAAGCATTTTCGTATCGCATATCGAATATCGCATTATTTAATGAGTTATCGCATAATGCATTTTTCTTCAATATCGCACAGCCCTAATATATATATAGCTTTAGGTAGAAGTGCCTAGACGTACATAAATCATATTGGAATGCATTGTCAAAATGAGCCTCAGAACAGATCGATTTACTAATATTGTCAATATAATTTTATTCATTCCATTGGAATGTTTTACGATTTTAGCATCTAAATTTGCATCAAAGTTACCTCAGAGACATATTAGAAGACGTCTCTAAATATTCATTAATTTTGCATTGCTATTTCATTGCATTTGCGTCTTAATAATATGTTTCTTTCTTGTTCTCTGGCAATTTTCTTCCACGTGTTTGGTCTTTATCTCATGAGTCAGATGTCAGGTTTGCAGGTAGCATGTCTAAATGAAAGCGTTTCTGAATGTTTTCTGGTTCAGGTTGGGTTGGAGTTGCTTGTTTGCACACCAGTTGCCTGGTTCCCTCCCTGTAGAGGCTTAATTGTGTCGTTTCCATGAATTGTTCCTGTGCACACAGTTGGCAGCTTGTGTTAATGAGTCCCCAGTCATTATTTTGTTTGCACTCAAGCCTAATTGCCTTTTTTTTACATGTGCACACAGATGTATGTGAACAAACACAGGGATGCTAAATGAAAACCTCACAAGTGGATGGATTTGGGGGTGTCTCTAATTGAGGCCCTTTTGTTAATTCAGAGGGTAGATTTTAGGAGAACATTTCGGTCTTCAGCTAGCTTGGGATGTGTGTGAGGAAGTGAACGGGACGTTCTGACACTTGAACCCATGAATCTGAAATTCGAGTTTGAGAAACATCCTGAAACAAATCCTGAGTCCTGCATTTAATATTTTACTTTGTAGTATGTTAATGATGGTGTTTCCTGTTAGTATTGATTTAGCCTTATAGATTCATGAAGTGACACTTAAAACCATAACATGCTCAAACCATTTCTGTGTATTTTCAGCACCTTGTCGAGAAATCTTCAAGGAATCTGAATGCCAATGGAATTGTTTCATAATTTGAAACTAGTCCTAATACGATCAAACAACAATACTCTGAAAATGAAATAAGATCTTACTGTATTATTATTTATTTTCTTATGATAAATTATTTATTATATATTATTATATTATAAATATTGTGTATATTATAATGTACTATCAAGTATACCCAACTACATGTAATAAATACATAAATAATCCTCTATTAAATAAGTTAAAATACATTTTTGTAATTTTTGTTAATCTTCATTTATACACTTAAATATAACATTAAATATAAATCATAAAATATAACATTTATATGTGACCGTAAGCAGCTCTTCGTCAGATTGTGTTGACCATCCTCTTCCTCTCTCCATCTGAACTCTTCAACTCAGTGGAGATAATGGACGAAACCTGACTCCATTTCTCTGAATTCAGCAGCCGTCTAGTGCTGAGAGAACTGAATTTTTTTTGTCTTTGTTTTGTGTTTAAGGAACATAAGTTTTTCCTTTTTTTTATTTTTCATAAAGTCTTAAAAAAAATGAATGTTTCAATTAGAACCAGGTAGTGTTTGTTCCTGCTTACCTGTGGTTATGAGCCAAAGCAAAGTACTCAGAGATTACTTCATAAGGGCCTTTCGCACCGCTTTAGTTCCAGAACTAAATGTACAGTACTAAAGTACTGGGACGATTTTGCGCGAACTATTTCCCGGTACCATTTAAAGGGTTGCATTCACACCGAGAGTGTGTACTAAGAAGTGACGTAAGCCGGTCGACAGCGTCGTCATTTGTGCGCGGCGTTCAACAACAGAAACAAAGAAGAACAACATTAACAACAGGAGGATGGAGGACGCTGTGATCGGAGCTGTGTGTTTGTTGTGTCTCGCGGGTTTCACAATAATGGGACATGGAAAGTCGACGTATACGTAAAGCGATTGAAAGAACGGGTGGGTAGTTCCACAATTAGTTCTGGTACTATGAAAAGGTTCCCGTGGTGCGAAAGGCCCTATAGAGAACCTTCTGAACTCCACAAAGAACCTTTTATTCTCTGGTGCTTTAGAAAAGCATCTACATACCAGTGCTTTAAAGAAGTCAGAAACCAAAACACTGATCTGAAGAACATATAATGAATCATCAAGAGTTTTAGAAGTATCCAAAGAACCTTATAACATCTCAACATTACATGGTTGTTTGAATATCTGTTATTAGTGTGATGATTCATCAGGAAGTTCTCAGACAGGCTTATTGTAGGTCAGTCATTGTGTTCTTTCAGCTTGTTCTTGTGATGTTATAACTGAGCCATTAGACAAGTGATTTCTGTTCTCAGCTCGTGTTATGATGTCACAGCATGATTGTTACATTTCACTTCAGAATTCTGAAATCAGAAAGCCACTAATCAATCAGCTGTGAGTGTTTAGAAGGAATGAGTGTGTGAGACACGTGTTTGTACAGGAGCGGGTGTGTGTGTGTGTGTGTCAGTCCCATATCAGTCATATCTCTCTCTCATCACATGTCTTTATGTAGTGGTGTTTGCTAAGGTCAGCAGCACTGTTATTATTGGTCATACACGAGTTAATGATTTGAGCTAGGGCAGCAAGTTTTGGGTATGAAATAGAATTGTGATCAGGGCTCGAATTTCGGCGCGGGATTGTGGATAATTCTACTGATTCCCGCAGTTTCCGCGCTTGTAACGCGGGAAATTCCCGCAAATATTTCAGCGTGAAAGACGTCGGGACAGATGACAGAATGTATCATTTGCACGTGCTTTTGAGTCTTACAATTTTTTAAAGTGCTCAATTCAGTACTTGCGCGCTCTCTGTGAGACCATTTCTGTGAGCTCACACCCAAAGCGTGTGCACATAGGGCCTGTTTACACCTGGTCAGTTCATGTGTTTTTTTTCTGATCGAATAGCTATCCGATTGTGAAAAGACCAGGTGTAAATGCCCTCCGAAACGCATTCGAGACGGATTCGTCTTGATGAGTATTCACGTTAACAGTTGATTTATACTAAATATTGTCGGTAAATAGGCTATTAAGTTAATGTGAACAGTTGAGAAACAAAACGTATTTATAATAGTTAGATCCGTGCATGAGGTCTTAAAGAGACAGCGACCTAAATAAACCTGCTGCTGCCTGTCATTAATATTTATTTATACATTCAAGATTAACCAGTGTTATTTTAAAGTTAGATTATTCAGTTTCTGTGGTATTTCTATACCTCAGTATTACCGTTATACCTACCTGAAAAACTTAAAGCACAGTTCATTATAGTTGTATCTTGTTATTGTATTAGTTTGTGCCATTGCTTGTCATTTAGCTATTCTTATTTTATTACTGACTGTTTACTTTTCTTTTTTTTAGTTAAAATAAATTCAACTCCGAGTTTGAAATCAAAGATATTTTTAAGAACCTTCCTCACAATATAAATGTGAATCGACAACATTATTGTATAAAATTGTAAAACACAAATACACTGGGTGACGAAACTTTTAGGTTGGATCCAGCCTCAAATTTAAAAAAAATCCCCCCCATAAGAGCCACCTAAAGGGGGAATTCCCTTTTGCTATTTTGCATTTATAATATGACTATATAATTATTTTATTAATTTAATTAATTATTTAATTTATTTAGTAATAATAATTATAATTATTATTAAATAAAATAAGAAATATTGCTAATATTTCACTGCCAAATACAAAAATAAGTCAAGCTTTTAAAAATCACTTAGTATTAATAATAAATAAAGAAAATAATAAATAATAATTTTATTTTACTAAGTATTAATATTTATGGCTAAAAGAACAAAGCACCGTGCTTCTTTCTTGAACATGCATATTTGACAATTGCATGAAACCATATTGTG